TAACATGACACTCAGAGGCTTCGAAATGGATAAGGAGCACTAGTTTTATAAAACTCCTGTCAGAATAGGCCTGACACAATACAAGACAACTCCCTAAAATCAGTGCTTTGAGACTGATCTGTAGCAATCCCCCAAAGACAGAAATCTGGGGATTTTGTAAACAAAATCAACTTTCCTTTTTGCCTGCAAATTGTTGTTGTTTATGTTTCAGAGAAATTGATTGAGCTCAGATGGGGAAAACCCAACGTGCTTAGTCATTCTTTCTGAGAATGCAGGCCCAGAACACAGCAACTGCTCCCTGTCTATGTTCCATAGATATATACTGTGTCATTTGGAATCCCCTTTTTGGGTGGATTTTTTGTTGTTGTTGTTGTTTAAAACAACATTTCCATCCACTTTATCATGCTACGGAGAATTACTTGGTGGATTGATGGCAATCATTAAGTGATTCTCATATTGATAGTTCCTTGCTTTCATTCACAATTTACTATCCATCTCATTACACTTCATTCCATCCCTAAACCATTCCTCAATATTTTTCAGGTGTACGATAACCAGTGTTTTTTTTTGTGATGGTCTGAGTTCTAGTCCTCATGGAACTGTTAAAGTCATTGGTGTCCTCGGATCAATTACTTCATTTCAACCTGACCTACCTCACAGCATGGTTGCAAGGATAAAGTCAGAGGTGGGATTCAGCAGGTTCGCACCTATTCTATAGAACCGATTCCTAAATGTACTATTGGTTCATAGAACCATTTGCTGGCCTGAGATGAATGAAGGAGAAGGGGTCAGGTGACCAGCAACGAGCGGGGGGGAGGGGGGCACAATTAGCTGCCTCCCTTCCCGCACCACACTGAGCTGTCTGAGGTGGGGTGTGGGTGAGAGAGATAAAGCCCTGGAAAGAGCAGAGGCATCACTGGGGGAAAGGGAGGGAGGATGAGTCCTTGACGTCAGTGGAGGAAAGCCCATGGCCTCGAGGCAGAGAGGGGGGGGTGATTGACAAGGCATGAGGGCAGGACACAGAGGGAAAAAGTTTTGGGGTGAGACCACTTCAGTCAAACACCCAACCGTCCTCGTTTTACTATGATTTTTTTCAAGTTAAAGATACCACATAAGACTGTTGCTCTGCCTAGAAACAGTTTTTTTTTTAAATCTCAGAGAATATCCAATGCATGAACTGGTGACGGTCTCACTGATCCATGCAAGCAAGGTATGCAATAGAAAAGTCACTCACACCACAAAGAGATCAAACCTCCAAGCCTCATTTAGAATAACAAAGAACT